ACCGCAATCGCCGCCGCATAGGTTTTGTAAACCGAGTTGCGGGTAGGTGGGTGGCATGCTTGCGCGACCAGCGGAGTTGGCACCTTCAAATTCGGCAGGGCGAACTGCACAACATCGATTCCCGTTTCTAACAAGAGTCAAGATGAACCACCACCACCACCAACCGGGGCTATCCGCTTCACCTGGGGGGTGCGCAATTCAAACATGATCATGAAATCGTGCCACATCGTTTGTTTTACACATGAACCCGTACCGTCCCTGCAAGGCTGGTATTGACCCAACCCATCACCCCTGACACATAAAACTATGCGCGCAATCGTTTAACAACAATCGCAAATATCCAGGAATCACTTGTCAAAGACTGTGACAGGGTCCACACGCGCGCGTCGCCGCGTGCGCATCGCAAAATCCTTCAGCAACCGCAAGTTCTGTAAGGATTTCCATCGCGTATGCAGCGTTGGCTTTCAATAAACAGATGGTGTTTCGAAGACGTCCGCGCACGATCTTGCAAACCCGTGTGACAACCACCCGTTGTTCACTGATGTCAGGAAATGCGGTCACGCGGGCACCTCGCGCGCACATGCGACATTATGTCGAGCACTCTTTGCGCGCTTTCTGGAGGAGGGAGGCGCGATCCCTGCCAAACAACACCATGCCGGCCACTCGCGCCCGTCGGCCGCTCGCATGTCGAGATCGTTCCGGCACTTTCATGACCGACGCGTGGACACCATCATCTTCACCGGCGTGATCAACATCGGCGCCGTCATTGGCGTTGCCGCCGTCATCGCACACATCGCCACCAGCATCGCTACTCGGCGGTGGACAAACCTCCGTTTAGTAAACCTTCCTTTAGTGAAAACAGCCTGGGACCGAAGCCGACGGACCTGCACCCGCAAAAATGACGGCCGCGACGCCCTCTCGCGAACCGAAAACGGCCCATTCACTAATCGACGTGTCAGGGTAGGAGGTCTATCCACCTCCGATCGGCGCCGTCATTGGCGTTGCCGCCGTCATCGCACACATCGTCACCAGCATCTCTACGATCATCATCGCGCCTGCCGCTGTCTCGGAAGCCGGGCGAAGGCTGCTAAATCCGTGGCTGCTACAATCGACCTCCGGGAAGTTGTCTCCGTCCTTCCGGGAAGAAGCCCGTTGACACTGCTTCGCGTGCCGCGCCTCATTGCGGGAAGTTGTTTTTCCCCTACGGGAGGGCCGTTTTAGCAGCCACGGCTTCAGCAGCCCTCGCCCAGCTTTCGAGCCGTTGTCGACGTCGCCATGATACCGCGCCCGCCCGGAGCCGCCGACTCGCCCCGAATTGCTCGAGCGCGTCGGCGCGGCCTGCGAGACGCGCCTGGCCAGGCGATGCGCCACGGCCAGCGCCGAGCAGTCATCGCAATCGCCGCTGCGTGGGCTCTGCAAGCCAGCGGGCAGTGGAGTTGGCAACTCTAGGGGAACAAAAAGTGGCATAAACATAAAAACTCTGAGGTCCGCGCGGATTTCTCGGATCGGCGCTGGAGCCCCCCGGCGGCGCCTCCGGCGCCGCCCCTGGCGCGCTCCGCGCGCCAGGGAGGGGGGCCCAGCGCCGATCCGAGAATCCGCGCGGACCTCCGAGATGTTATGTTTATGTCACTTTTTGTTCTCCTAAACTCACTGCGAACCAAAAGTGGTTGCACCGCCTAGTTTGCAGCACACACGTTGCACCACGTCGATTGCAGATTGCGCACCGCCTAGATGGCGCCACATCGATTGCACCGCCTAGATTGCGCACACCTTGAATTCTCCTTTCCGAAAAGAGAATAGACTCTACCCCCCCCTGGCGTTATCGGTACCCCTTTCGGGTATGTAAATCATACATGATTACGACCACATGTCCATCCTAAATATGAAATCACAGTGTCCCAGGCCAGCCGGTATCCCCCCCCTGAGGCTCCCTTGTAAAAAACACTATGCGGTGACATGTTTGTTCTAACATAGCGCTTGTTCACGAATCCTTTGCAAAAAATGTGACGAAGAGCACCCGCGCGCGTCGTCGCGAGCGCATGCCGAAATCCTCCAGGAACCTTCGGTGCCGGAAGGATTTCGCAATCGAGTTTCAAAAAAACATACAAAAACACAGGGTTTCGCAACACTGATTTGCTAAAAAAGCTTCCGCGCGAGCTCTTGTGAAATCTTAAGAAAATCATAGGATTTCAAGATTTTCACAAAATGCTATTGAACGAGCTTCGCGCGCGCATGTCGAAATCTGTCGAACGCCCTTGCGCGTGTGCCGTCGCGAGAATCCTCTGCAAAAAATGGGACGAAGTGCAGACGCGCGCGTCGTCGCGCGCGTATGCCGAAAACCTTCAAAACCCGGTTTCGGAAGGATTTTTCAACAAAAGCGTGCGTGCGCGCGCTCTTGCGTCGTCGTCGTCGTCTTCGTCGCCGTCCTCCCGCCTCCCGCGTCGTCATCGTCGTCGTCGCCTACGTCGTCCTCTGTCTTTCCTCGTGTTCGTCGTCGTCGTCCTCTTTGGCGTCGTGGTCGTTTCCGTCGTCGTTGTGGCCGTGGTCGTCCTTCCTCCTCCTCCCTCGTCGTCGTCGTCGTTTGTCGTCGGCGTCTCGTCGTCGTCCCTCCTATTTCGTCGCCGTCGTCGTCGTCGTCGTTGTCGTCGTCGTCTTCCCTCCTCAGTCGTCGTTGTCGTCGTCGGCGTCGCCGTCCTTCCTCCTTCCTCGTCGTTCGCGTCGTCGCCGTCCTCCCTCCTCCCTCGTCGTTGTCGTCGTTGTCGTCGTTGTCGCCGTCGTCGTCCTTCCTCCTCCCTCGTCGTCGTCTTCGTTGGCGTCGTCGTCGTCTTCGTCGTCGTCGGCGTCGGCGTCGTTGTCGTCGTCGAAGTCGTCGGAGACGTCGTCGGTGTCGTCGTAGTCGTTGTCGTTGGTGTCGTCGCAGTCGGTCTTTAGAGGTTTTGCAAACCAAGTTGCGGGTGGGTAGGTGGGATGTTTGCAAGAGCGCGGGATGTGTCAAATCATGGGTAAAAATCAACTGCACAGCATAGACTGCGCCACCAAGACTGCACCAGATAGATTGCTCCACACAAAAAGATCACACTATAGACTATAGATTGCAAAGCATAGATTGCATACAAAAAATGAACAACACCTATTCCACCACGTAGATTACACCGCACGCACTGCTCCGCAGAGATCGCACAACACACACTGCTAAAAAAGCACACTCTTTGGGGCCCACGCTGGCCCACGCTGGGTTACTGGTCGCACAAACGAAACGAGTATCACACGGAAGCTATGCATTGAGAAGGGGCCGTCCTCCATCAGTGCAACTGCGGGAAACATTCAAAACGAACGCGTGCGGCGCTGGGGCGAGAGCAACGCTTGGGAGAGGGACCGCCCTTCCTTTTCGCGAAACGGCTGGAAACTTACAGGGCAGTTTTTAATACATAGGGTGTTTGAAACATATCGGACTTTTCATGCATGATTAATGCATGAAGAAAGTTATGCATGAACTCCTCGTTGTTTTTAGCACTAAATCCCTGCATGTTTAATACATGGTCCGCACGCGGAGCATGTATCAAAAACGGCATTGTATAAGACAATGTGCGCGGTGATGAGGCGAGAGCCACGCCCTCGAGAGGAAACGCCTTCCCTCTGTGCGACGGCTGGGGCACTGTAAGACGAATGCGCACGACGCTCAGGCCAGAGCCACACTTCAAACAACGCCTGGCTTGCCGGAGATGTCAGGCCTCGGGGTGATAGATGGGGAGGACGTCTCGGGCGAAACGTCCGGCCTGGCGTACCGACACGCTGGCAGCTGGGCGAGGAAAACCTATCAGCAAGGACCAGGGACGGAAGAGGGAGGGACCTCAAGCCGGCTACACACCGAAAACCCTCTCCATTTCCTCACCCTCTCCCCTTCTCCTCTCGGCGGTGGACAAACCTCCCTTTAGCAAACCACCCCTTAGTAAAAAACGGCCTGGGACCGAAACCGACGGACCTGGACCAGCAAAAATGGCGGCCGCGACGACCTCTCGCGAACCGAAAACGGCCGATTCCTTAATCGAAGTCAGGGTAGGAGGTCTGTCCACCCCCGATCCTCTCTAGGACGAAGCAAGGGTGTGATCTCTGACGGCCAGCAGGTCTGGAGCATGCCTCTGGCGCAGAGGCGCTCCGGACCGCGCTGTGAGGCGCTCCGGAGCCCTCTGGAGCGACGTGCTCCTCCTCTTGGGCCTGCCTGACCTCTCCTCCTCTTCCTCCTCCTCCTCCGCCTTCTCCTCGAAGAAGCAGAAAGATACCGACACCGCCATTCCCTATTCATTTCACGGGGTACATCCTGACCAGAAGTTTGAGGAAAAACCTGCTGTGGCGACGAGGGCTTTCCAGGACGAGCGGCGGCATCGGAATTGGTATCTGTTCCTCCACTGGTAGAGGCCTCCCAGATGGGGTCGAAGTAGACGGGGTCGAACCGCGCCGCGTCATCGATGCATCACCAACGCATTGACGATATATCGCCGACCTCGGCGATGCGTCGGCGACGTCGGTGTGGAGAAAGTCGGGCTCCACAGCGAGCCGCATCGTCGATGCATCGGCGATGCGGCGGGACCCTCCGACCGCACCTGCTCGACCCGATTGACGATCGAACAAGAGGCACCCATACCCATGGGGGGGGACGGAGGCGGCTTGTGGTCGGATGGGGGTCCGCGCTCGAACGGGAGCTTCCCCCAGGGTCCGACAACCCGCACCCATACCCATCGCAAGTCCACCTCCCGCCGACCGCCCTACACCCTGCGAAATGCTTAAGAAATCATGGGTTAAGAAATTCATAGTCTCATAATCTGATTACAAACCCAGAACTCCTATCAAAATCTTGGGATTTACATTGAAAACTTAAGAATAATCGAGACTCTGGACGAAAACTTAGGTTTTCTTAAGCATCGCCTAGGGTGTAGGGGTAGGGGTGTGTGTGCTGTCCGTTCCTCGGCACCTGCCCGAAGCGATGGGGCGGGCGGGCGCACAGGATGCGCAGCGTCTTCACAGGGCCCGAACTGCCCGCCAGGAAGTACACCACCGAGACCGAGACCACCGTGCCTGGCGCGCGCCGCGGGCCGGGCGCACGGGGCGGCCTGCGCCACGCGCCAGGCGAAATCTGGCCGTCGGGGACGAGGGAGGGGGGGAAGGAGGGACGGAGGAGGGAGAGGGGAGGGAGGAGGGAGAGGGGAAGAAAAAAAGATGTGACGAGCAGCGCTGCGGGCGAAGACGCCCCATCGCTTGGCGAAGAAGGAGGAGTGATACCTGAAGATTGAGGACGAGGAGGAAGACGAGGAGGGAAAAACAAACAGTTGTAGAAACATAAACTTATATACGAGCCAGTGCGATGTATCGATGATATGCTGCCGCGGAGGTCGTCGTCGTCGCACTCGTCGGTTTCACCCGGATCGCCAATGGCTGGGGAGCCCAACAGATTTTGGGCCAAACACGTACGCTCGGTGCCGAAGCCGTCGGGTGGTCCTACGCGACCTGCTTCCGTGGCCTTGGGCACATGACCTCCTTTATGCCGGCTGTCTGGCGCATGCGCTCTGCTGTGGGGTGGGCGTCGGCAACGCAGTTGCCAGACGGCCGTCGTTCAGCGTCTGGAGGGGCGCGAGCGACATAGCTGCACGATGCCTCCCTGGGTTGTTCGTCCTCAGTGTGCACTGTGCAAGATGATCGTGATCTGTGGTTTCGAGCATGATGTTTGTGTTGCGGATGGGCGGGGTTTCGCCTGACAGATAGCGGGTTGGGATTTTGTGTCCGATAGTTTCCTCGTTATTTTTGGCGCGTTGCTCGGCGCCGTGGCCCTCGGCGCGCTGCTCGGCGTCGCGGCGGCGCCTAAGCGTAGCACTGGAAGAGGCGTCCGGGTCCGGTGCCCAAGCTGCCGTCGCGCCTCGTCGAGGGCGCGCTCTAATCGCCCCACCCGCGCAAATGCAACTGCAGCAGGGCGACCAGCGCAAGACCTCGCGGCACGCCAGAGCCACGCGCAGTTTCCGATTGACGATCGCCCAGTCGTCCTTGTTGTCTCGATGTTGCAACTGCACAGCTGGTGTAAGATGGGTGTTCCAGAAACCTGCGCTGCTGTGCTCGACCTCTGGATCCGGATGCTCGCGGGATGCCCTGTGCTGCATCAGGTAGATCACCTGTGTGTCGGTCATATGTTGCACAGGTGGTCGTTTGCACTGTTGGCTGCAGCAGAGTCCGCGATGATGCGGTCCAAAATGATCCGGGATATCCTCTGGCCGTGCTCGACCACGAAAACCCGCGGGCTGGCATTGCGCATGACCACCTTGAGCTCGCAGCGGTAGTCGGGGTCCACCACTCCGCCCGCGACGTCGATGCCCTCGGGGGCCAATCCTGAGCGCGGGGCAATCCGCGGTGCCCGGCGGCGCGAGTCTCTGCCACTTCAAATAGTGCGAGCCACTTAAGTGGAAGTCTCCCAGTCGGTGGTTGGAGCTGGTCAAAGTTCTCGACTGGCATGCATGAGCGGCCACTTGGAGCCGACTCTGAGTCGAACTGCACGGTGCCTGGAACCCAGGAAATCTCATAGAATCCAGGACCGGGGAATGCGGCGCGTTCATGTGCTACGCCTGTCTAACAACACCGCTTTGCCGACTCCTGCCGCACGATTAGAATGGAGACGCCAAGTTCTCCCCTGCGGGCTGAAGCCTGGCCTTGAGCTCCTTGCCGCTGAACGCGCCCGCCAGAGGTTGGTCAAGGCGCGGGCGCCCACAATGGCGCCAAGCTGGCCGTTTGGACGGCAGGTCAGTCCTCGCCAGGTTGAATGGTGAGTCGGTTGGTGCGCTCGGGCCTGTACCTTACGAGGTCGGCCACCACGGGGGCGCTGGTCGGCGCGGCGGAGCAGGCGAGTCCGAGTGGTCACCTGGCGCGATGTCGTCTGGCGCCGGCGGGCTCGGCACCGCGCGCGACCTGGGCGCCGGGATCTGCCGCGCGGGCCGGCACCGAAGTTGCCGGGCCCGCCGCGACAAGATCTGCACCGAAGAAGCAAGATCGGCGATGACGTCGGCCGGGCAGCGGCGCGCCGGGGAGCGCGACAACGCTGGGCGTCGGCGTCCTGCGCGAGCTGCAGGCGGCATGCCCGGCGCAAGATGCAGCGGCGCTGACGGCGCACACCTCGATCACCACGCGCGGAAACCTCGATGCAGGTAGGACGCGTTGAAGACGGCGACGCGGGGCGCAGGCGGTCCTTCGGCTGGCGCAGGAGGTGAAAATGTCGGTGTACCGGTCCAACTCTGCGCGGCCCGTCGTCGCTGCTCGCCCTGCTGTCGCACGAGCTCGAGGCCCACTCTGCGTTCGGACCGCGCGCCGCTGGGCCCCTGGGCGTCGCGGCCGGCGGACAGCATTCAAAGGGGGCCCGCCGGTCGGACAGAACCAGATCGTCGGGAGATTCCAGCACTGGCGGCGACACGGCCACTGGCGCGGAGCGCGGCGGCCACGCGGCGCTCGACCCAGATGGCGCGCTGACGCCGAAGGCTGAAATCGATGGCACGCACGACCAGCTCGGCAACCGCACCTCGGCGGCTCGGGCATCGACGCTACTAAACCAATTGCGCCCGCGTTGTGACCCCAGCGGGACGGCGCCAGCCACGCCGGCCCAGCGCTGCGGCGTCGGCGATGGCGGCGCCGGCGACGCCGCCGGAGCTGCGACCCCCCCTTCCGTTCGCACTGGCAACGCAGCTGCTCCACCAGTCGGCTGAATAGAATCCTGTCGCACGCGGCCCACGGGGTCGTCCATCTCCAAGCGCGGGCGACGCATTTCGGCCTCCCGAGGGTTGAGAGATGTCGACGAGGACGACGATGTACCCGCCCAACTGCCTTCCAAGATCCGTCGGGAAAAGCACTGGGGGCATGCCGCTGCTCGCGCTGGCCGCGTAGACGCCGAAGCTGGGGCAGGCTGGCCGCCGCCCCGGGAATCGGCGCCCTGCGCGGGGCCACCGTTGTCGGGTCCCAGAACCAGAGGTTCGGGCATCCTGCGAGAATCTTCGGTCGCCCAGGCAGAGTGGGCACCTGGCGCTGGTAGCCGGGCGGCTAGCCCACGCGCTCCGCGGCGCCCGGGCGCGCCAGTGGCTGGGGGGCGCAGGCGCGGCGCCGCCGAGGCTGGGGCGCCGAGAAAGCGGGCGCGCCCCTGCCCGCGCCGGCGGGTGCGCTCGCACGAGGCGCTCCTCCGAGTCGCACTCGCGGCACTGGAGACGCGCCCCGTCTGGGCCAAGCGGGCTGGCCTGGCGGCCGAATCCCAATCCACCAGTCCTGCGCCGACCCTTTCCCCTACCCCTGCCCCCCCTCCCCCCCCCCCGACACCTGCGAACGTCGCGCGGAGGCCCGCGCCGGGCACATCGGCCAGGAAAGCGAGGCGGCCCCTTCCACGACCATCGCCCTGCGCGCGGGCTCCCGGCCGTTAACGCGGCGCCATCTGGATTCGGCGCGCTCGCGGGCCCAGGAGCGGCGCGCACCTCGCTTTTCCGCATGAGCACCGGGCAGTTCGGGATCGCCGGCAGCAGCTTCCTCGCCGAACGAGCCGGCGGCGTCGGGGCCGGTGCCGAAAGTCGAATCCTGCCGACGGATATGCCACTCGAGGTGCTGCAAGTGGACTCGGCGCTGCTCCAAGGGCCAAAGGGGCCCGCGCCATCCAAACTAGATCTGGCCCCAGTGTCACAGGCGCCCCGATCGGCCCCAATACCATAGGCACTCTGATTAGCTCCAGCGCCATAGGCACTCTGACCTGGATCCAACGATGGCGCACCCGCGAGAAACGCTCGGCGCTGCGACGAGTGGGCGGCCACGGCGAGTGCCCAGCGAGCCTTCGACCACGCGACCATGAAATCGGCGCAGCCGACCCATCGCGCGCGCCAGCTGCGGCGCGCCCGCAGAGCAACTCACGACGCAGCGCTGCAGGGCCACGGCGAGCTGGATGTTCGACGCGCCCACCGCGCGCAACAAGAGGTCGCCCAGGCCCCCGCAGCCGACCACGAGTTGACTGGCCTGCTGCGCTCTGTCGCTGGGGATGTCGAACCTGGCGAGGAGGTCGTCGAAGCGCTCTTGAGGCAGCAGGTCGTTATCTATTCATCAGCGTCGAGACTGCCTGCGCGCGCCCCCCTCTCCAAGCAGGCCCCGCCGCTCGGCCAGGCTAGGCCGCGCGCGAGGCGGGTCGAAGGCGGCGCCCGGTTGCCGCTGATACGCCAACCTTGGGCGAGGACAGCCGGCGGCCACTCGCCCGCGCCCTCGCAGACCACGCTGGCCAAGCAAGACGAGACGCAGGCCGCCCGGCGAAACTCGTCGAGGTCGGATCTCGCCACTGGCCAAAAATCATTACGTCACGCACCCAGCGACGGATGGGCACGCGAGCTTGCTGCCCGGACCCCAGGGGGCGGGCTGCCGCCGCCGCCGCCCGCGCTCGCGCAGGCGACGCAGCCGGCGGCAGCGATCAGACCCACGCCGATGGCCCCCCATCCAGAGCGAACCCCCTCCGGGCGCCAAGGAGGCGCGACAGCCTGGCACCCGCCAACGGCGATGCTCTGGTAGTGATCCTCGCAGTCGTCGTCGGTATAAGTATCTGGCATGCCCCTCCCCGTCGGAGCGCTACGTCTCCTCTTCTGACGCACGATTGGCTTGCAGGCTAGACTCGGAGCATCCCGCCACACTGTGGCGCCTCAGCCCGTCGCGCGTCGCAGTGTCGTTGTGCCGCGCACAACCAACTGGGCGACAACCAGGAGGAGTACGCATAAGGATCCAGGTCTGTCCTGAAGCAAATTACACGCATGCAACGTCGAGCGCACTGCACCAGAGAAACGACAAAGCGAGTAGCCCCAAACTTGCGCGACAGTCCCCCAGAAGACGGGCAACACAGTTGCCCGACCCTTCTTCTGAATCCAGTTTTTGCCTGCATGTTTTTTCTCCGGCTCTGGCAACATAGCTGCTCTTGGCAAGGGACGTTTTGCCACCGCCGACAATGTGAACGTCGGATCCA